GGGGGATACAGAAAGCAGTAAGATGTTGAAGACCTCATGATGACACTGAACCCCATGAGATTTCTCACTTCTGCTTTCAAAGTGTTGACGTTTCTGTCTACTGAGATGTCATAGTGGTACAGAGATCAGCTGTGATCCCAGGGGGTGAATAAAGTGGTTTTTGTTTTTCAGTTATACGCTTCCTGTTGTCTAAACCTCTTTGGATTAGGGGTGCAAAGGTTACCATGATGAGTGCTACCGTGGGCAGTGGTGGCTTAATGGTTAGGGAAGTGCACTTGTAATTGAAAGATTGCTGGTTCAAATCCCCGACCAGCAAGGCACCACTGAGGTACCCTGAGCGAGGTACCGCCCCCAAGCACTGCTCCCCTGGCACTGAATTAGCTGCCCCCTGCTATGTCACAATGTCACATATGGGTTATATGTAGAGGACACATTTCATTGTTGTGTGTGTGTGTGTCAACAATGACCACTGATGAGCAAATTAGAAGTGGTGCCGGTGGTATATAGGTCAGTTCCTATGTATGTGGCTACCTGTCTTGGAACTTCAAGTGTCATGGCCCCCAACCCATAACTCATAATCCAACCACCTTGAAGTTGTGGAGTATGAGGGTTGGGGAAACTAAATGGTCTTCAGAGGCTTTTTCTTTGCTTTCTTTGGTGAGACATAAGCGTGTGCAACCTCTTCCCCATGCACCGTCTGCAAGGGATGGCAGCCTGGATGGCCAAATATTTGCAGATCTTGTTAGATACCTCCCAAATGTTTATCAATCTTTTTTCCCGTCAGGTCAGAGATCCTTTATTTCAGTTTCCCCACTGTATAGATCAGGGGTCCCCAACTATTTTTCCCTGAGGGCCAAATTCCATCAGTAACACTAAACCAGTTGGGGGTCAAACACCAGGTACTATAATTATATTAAGTAGCCGGCTTGTTGGCAACAACTGATATAGATGCTTCTATAGAACTAAGGCTTCAGTCTTTTTCCCCCCCCCCATCCACTGAAAATGAATGTATGAAAGTCAAATGTTTATAGACTGTTTTTGTCATCTTCCGTCTCTTCTTTTTCACTCTCTCTGAATCAAGCTGCGTTGGTCAGCATCCAGTTCAAACCGGTTTAGGATGACGGCTCTTTCTAGCTCAGACCGACACCGTCGGCTTAATCGAGCACTTGTCCATTACACTTATCACTCATAATAGCGGCTCTCCTCTTTTCAACCACTCCGACGTGTGAGTTTTTTGTTTCGATTTATGGGACGTTTAGTGTTAACAGACAAGTGGACCAGGACCTGCTGTTTTTGTTTATAATTCAGAGCTGGTTGTCAAGGGTTCTTTAAGTACATATGGACGGCGTAATATTTTATGGCTTCTGAAGTTTAGTTTCTAGACAGGGCTGTTGTTGCAAACCAATCGACACTGGCTGCAGTTTAATTTTGCACACAAGCTGTGATGATGCGGGAATTATTTCAGCATTAATCGGCATTTAAATTTAATTAATGCAGCAGTAGACAGAATATTTTTCACATTGCATGTTAAAATCATAGCAATGTTTCTATGTAAATGTTTTTTTCGCCACCCACGGAGGGAAATGGAACAAACCACTGTGGAATACGGAGGAGTGGGCATTGGGTAAGACCATTAAGGAATGAGTGAGGGGGTGACACTTCAAAGCTTAGTCTTGCATGAATTATTAATGAAATGTTCACTGTTAGGTACAATGGTAGTAGCTGAGTGGCGGCTGAAGATTCTGCTTCTGACCGTCGTCCATAAACCACATGTTTGGAGATTGATTAAAAAAAAAAAAAGAGATGATCATATATTATGTGTGATTTTTCCATTTTTTATGGAACTATTGGCGATCCTCACTGTCGCATCGCTAGACAAAGTTCCGTGGTACCATTGCAAGGTCAACGATGGCTATATTTAGAGCTGGATTCATGGTTTGCAGTTACAGCGTCGGGAAAGTGAACCTTCAATGGCCACACTAAGCACTATCTCATGAATACAGATACAGCTTGTGTTGGCCGCTTCATGTATACCGATCCAAATTAGCGCCTTAATCTGTTGCTGCCCTCTGTCACGTGCACACACACACAATTATTTTTTAAATGACTGTTTGTCTAAAGCAGTTGGTCTAAAAGTAGTTTCAGTTTGGCTTCTGTTTTTGTTTATACATACTATTTATTCTGCTCAGTAGCAAAACTGTGCCTTTCCCCACCCTCTGTTATCATATTAATGTATCATTCGTAATTTATAGATGATTAAAAGACCCCCACCCACCCCAGACGAAATGCGGAGTGTGGCCAAATGTGTCGCCATCTTCACCCTGTGAGATTGTTTTGTCCATCACCCTCCACATCCCTGATTAGGTTCATTGTGAGCCGGATTCTCAAAAGTCAAGAATAGAGGTATATATCTGAAGCCTGCAGATTCTTTGTCACCATTAGCATCCTCATCATTATCAATTTTAGAGATGGGTAGCAAGTATGTATTACTTGCGAGTGATTAATCTGAACTATTAGGCCGGATAATCAGCCCTCACAGGGCAGCTTGTTTGGGGTAAAGACACTAGCCAGACCGGGCTAAATGTGGAGCTCCTGGTGGGGCATGTACAGACTGCCCGCCCCCACCGAGGTCCGGTCGACCCCTGACTGCCCCCCAGGAAGGAAGCGGGAATCTGGTGCCGTGATCTCACGCCCCTGCGTGACCTCGGCAGGAAGCCAGTTTGGGGGAAGGAGGCTGCATTTGCACTCGCCTTCAGTCAGTGCCCCTCCCTGCTTCTGACACCGAGGGGCAAATACACCAGGGAACATGCCCCACTTTGGGGTGGGGGTAGGGTGGTGGGGGGTGGTTGCTTGGGGGCTCTTCCCTGTCGCATAACCTGTCATCTCGACGACGTGCTGACAGATCGCTTCCTTGCTGGTTTCTCACCCTCTGGGGTGGAAAGAGGAGAAAGGAGAGGAGGAGTGGGTGGGAGTCACGTGGCAGGAAGACGGGGGAGGTGCTAAGCAAGTGGGAGGAGGAGGAGGAGGAGGAGCGGGTGAAGAGGCAACGTGAGCCGTGTCCCGAAGAAAGGCCTGTCTGACCCAGTAGTCCAGGGTGGGGGGGATTCTCTGGGTAATGACACGCGTCCCTGCTGGAGTCCTGCTGGCCGCACTGCTTGGGGGTGCATGTCAGGGGTCAAAGGTCAGTGTGAGAGGCTCAGAAAAGAAGGTGCAGCCTCAGAGGCTGGCAGTCCTGTTACATAAATGCTCTTACATAATCACCATCAGCCCACGTCCTCGAGCGCGGTGGGTGGCGTGATCCTCTCAGTCTTTGATTTGATCTCCGCCGCCTATATCGGGAGATTTTTAAACACCAACCCCCCCATTCTTGTCCAGTGTAAAAACCAGGTGTGCAGGACCGGCGAGAAGTGTGACATGCGACTGGGCATCTGTCACCATAATGCATTTCTCTGCTTTGTTGTCCAAGCCACAGTCATGCAATTGCTGTGTGTGTGTCACAATGTCCCCATAACGTGATAAATATCTGTTTTTTTTCCCTTATGGGGACCGGTTTCCTGGTCCCCATAAGGGAAAACTCTATTTTATAAAAATCGGTGACTGCTATGAAAAAACTAAAAACGCAAAAACTCTTGTATTTTGTTAGGTTACTTATGGTTATGGTTAGGGCAGGGTGTGGGTTAAGGTTGTCATAGTTAGCGTTAGCATTTTTCCCATTGAAATGAATGAGCGGTCCCCATAAGGATATGTTTACTCTACATGTGCGTGCGTGCGTGTGTGTATGCATGCGCAGCTGCACATGTGTGTGTGTGCACATCCATGTGTGTATACGTGTGCGTGCACGCATGTGTGTGTGTGCATCTGCGTGTGCATCAGTGCATCCGTGTGTGTGTGCGCGTGTGTGCGCGTGCGCATATTTCTCTCCCTGTAATCTTGGATGGCCGAAAGGTCTCACACCCCCGCCCCCACACCGCCTGCCAGTGCAGCCCCCAGGGGGTGCAGGCTGAGAGCTCCACGTGTCAAAGTACGTGGCGTTCCTCAACACAGGCAGCATGCCACAGCTGTAGAGCTGCACTGCTGCGCTGTACTCCTCCTTTTGGAGGGGGGGGGGGTAGTCAGGTGACCCTGGGTTGTCCGTATCGATCCCCGTTCCCAGCCGTGTGTGTGTGAGATATGTTTATATATAGCGCTGTGTTCGGAGCCTGCCTAAGGGGCGGCCCGGCGGCTCAGCGTGCGGCGCTGTGGGGGTTTCTGTCCCACCCCCGTCTGTATGTTCACTCCGTGCTGTGCAGGTTTCCTCCCACAGTCCAAAGACACAGACGCCAATTAGCCTGGCTTCAGACTGACAGTAATCTGTGTGTGTGTGTGTGTGTGAGTGTGTGTGAGTGTGTGTGAGTGTGTGTGAGTGTGTGTGTGTGTGTGTGTGCGCCCATCCAGGCTGCACCCCACTCTGTGTCCTTTGCTGCCCCTGTTGGGCTCTGGGCCCTGATCAGGTACAGTGAGGTGAAGATGGATAGTTTTCCTTCATCCTCGTTATCTCATGCTGAAGTCGTCACTTTTCTGTTTTCTAAAGAATTCCTCCTTCCCAGCACCAGTCAGACAGTTTTTATCCTGTCGGGTCTGTCCTCACCTCTTCCTCGCCTCCTTTTTTCTGTATTATAAATCATTTATCATGTTTTCTAGTCTCACAGTTTTTCAGTTGCAATATTTTGTGAATGGTTTAAGCTCTGATATTGGTGTGAGCAATTGCTACGTGGCCATTTCTTGTTGTAACATCGCAATTGCACATAAAATAGGTAAGCGTTTCTGCTATGGAAATCGCTTTATATGGCAAATGTGTACCAGTCAATCCTGGAGAATGAAGTCATTAAATATGTTTTGCTAATATTGGTAGCATGTTTTTTAAAACCTTAAATGCTGGTTGTTTCTTTATTTTTCCTGTGTCCATCTGTGGTCTTTTTTGGATAAATGGTTAAATGCTGTCTTTTTTTCCCCTACTCCAGGCCTTCAGAAACCCCAATGTGGACGGCTGCAGCAGCCAATCCCCCGGCGCGGTCGCAGTGACGGGCAGCAGCAGCGCCCGCCCTCATCCCATAAGCGTGGGGACCAGTTGAGCGGCAGCGGTGCACACTGTCTGGGTTGTCCCTCCAACCCCCCCCCTCCCCCACTGCAAGCTATGGAACACCCCCGGGAGAAGGAGTCGGAGCGGGCGGGTCGCAGCAGCAAGGGGGCGGCGCAGGGGCGGAGCAGCCACACCCGCCCGTCGGGTTTCTCCAGCTCCTCGGGGGTCCTCATGGTGGGGCCCAACTTCCGCGTGGGCAAGAAGATCGGCTGTGGAAACTTTGGCGAGCTGAAGCTGGGTAAGAGCCTGGCATTTGGGTCACTCAACAAATAAGCCTGAAACTCCTTCCACCCTCCCTTCCTAAGTACAGTCAGACACCCTGTTATTTTTAAGCCCATCTGGCTGATAATTGGCCTGCAGAGCAGAGCTGAGATTCACCAGTGTCAACATGCTGAGTGAAGTTACTCTTCCTCTTGTTTTTAAATGAGGGGGAGACCCGGGGTCTCCTGCTCCGGGCTCCAAGCTCTTTATGTGCTGGCTTGACCTCCCTTGGTGATGGAAGGGAAAAAATGGGGTGCGGTTTGACATCCAGTGGGTCCTGTGAGCATGTTCGAGCTTCCCAGGGTTATTCCTCATGCTCTGATTAGCCTTCAGTTTCTTGGAAACTGTTGGGTTATGTGAGCACATTAGCCAGTTCATTTTATATGTCGTTTAAAAAGTACTTTCCTTTAAAGATTGTGCCGTACCAATATGAAATTTATCAGTTAATACTATAATACAGCTCTGGAAAAAAGAGAGCAAAATTTCACTCATGAATGAATTCCACTCATTTCTCGATTTATGGGTGTGCGTCTGTGTAAAATATACATTTTTTTGCAAACTGCAGCCTGGCTCTTCCCTGCTTCTCATTGATGAAGGGCTCCTTCCTTGCTTTTTGGGTCTTCTCTCCTGCTTCTAGGAGCCTGATATGAACTGTCCTAGCACTGCACATCACACCTGCACTTAATGTTTCCCATTCCTTTCGAAGGTCACTTGATGTCATCCTGCAATTCATTTCGCACTGCCAGATAAGTTAATGGTCATCCCTTCCATTAGAAACTCGCTTCCGCCCCCTACCTGGCTGGTTTTGGGGATTCCCAGTGTCTTCTGCTTCACCTTGTTCTTGTGTACTGCTGCCTTCGATACTTGCAGCCTGCCACTCAGCGTAACCTTCTGCCAGCAGAACTAGCATTAAACTAGGATTAAAAAATGCAGAATTAAAAAAATTTGGAGTGCTCTCCAGAGCTGTGGTCTCTTCGTCTTTTCCAGAGCTGTGTTTTTGTAAGTGTTCTGTCGTCTGATTGGGTGTCCTAATAAGTTTGGCATCATTTACTCTGTGAACTCAATGAACTTTAACCTTGGTCTAACTGGCCACAGGGGATCCTGGATGATTTGGATGTTGGCTGGTCACTCCCTGCCAGTCAGGGTGCAGGGTCAGTGCTTTTATCCTATATCGTTGCAAACGGCCTGTCGCAGCCGAGCGTCGCATCTGCCCCGCTCAAGACGCTCTGCAGCCCCATGCTGCTACTCCGAGGCGTGGGGCTGTGCTCAAACTGCAGCGTCAGCGCTGACCACTGGCGTGTCTCGCAGTCAAAGTCACCCGGAGCCAATGGGCTGTGAAACGTGCAAGTGAGACACGTTTGAGACACGTTCGGTTTGCCCGGGCCTTCCGGCCAAAATACGCTCACTTGACTTTGTGTATGATGCATGGATTGTCTAAGGTATTGGCTCTGTTTCATTAGCTAGTGTCTCACAAGCAAAAAATTATAAGCTTCTAAATGGTCGTAGCTCTCGGACAGAAAGTTACCCTGAGGGTTTGTAGCTGTGTGCGCAGCTCCTTACAACAGATTCCAAGGGCCTTAAATCCAGACCTTTAATCTAGTCTCCTATTTTGAGACATTCCTTGAAGCTAGTAGACCTCTGTTTCTCAACCCAGCCCTCGGGGTTCCCCAGACAGTCTGCATTTTTGCTCCTGCCCGGCTCCCAGCACACCTGTACCAGGTATTTTCCACTGGCAAACAGGAACCAGGTCAAACCTGACCCATACCGCGAAGAGACACTAGTTACAGTGTGGTTTCAGCTGACTTTGATTTTCCACTGCAGAAGGGTCGGATCGGTAAAGGCGGTTTGGAGAGAGACGGTGACGTAAAACCGAAGCATCAATACTTCGCAATATGTGATACTACTAATAATGAATAATATATAGATTATGCCCTTTTTTCCCTTCAGAAAATCTATAAATATTAACGCAGATCACCAGAATCTCTGTGCATTTTGCCCAGTCAGATGGTGACGCAGCCAGCTCAGTTTAGTCATGCTTTCAGTCCTGCTAGTAAGCTGGGCCATGTCAGCGAGGGTATGGCTCAGATACGGCTCAGATACGGCAGTGGAAAAGTGCCATAGGTGGACATAATGACCTGCAAATGTCAAACATGGCTCCAAATCAGTTTTAGTTTTAGTTTGTGTATGAGCGTATGAGCGTGTCATTACAAGCCGTTTGATTTCACTGACACCTGCAAGAGTAAGATATATAAATATTTAATCTGCAGATGGATCACCAGCAAATTATCCAACTGCCTGTGCGGAGACGGTGACCTTGAACATCTCACTTGCACTTTCCTTGTAGTAGCTCCCTCCTCCTTTGCTCAGTGGACCTTGGCAGGTCGGATACCTTGTGTAGGAGGGAGAAAAGGTCAGGTTTCTTGCTGTGCCGAGTGGTTTTGTTTATCTGTACACATGCCAATGACCTTCTTGCATGTGCCGTTGAAGGTGCTTCCATCTTAGTTGTCCTGCCTGATTTCCCCCCCCCCCCCCCCCCCAGCACTAGAGCCTCAGAACCACATCCTGCAAAGGCATGGGATGGGTCTGGTTACAGGCCGCGCAGGAAGTCTACGTGCTCGCTCTCACCTTGCATCGAGTACCGTCTCGGACTCGTATCCGGGGGGGAATTCCCATGGTAGTGTGTCGTTAAGACCCTTATTTTGACTTTTGCACTTTAAAATGCAGACCTGTGCATGTCCATGGATCTGGAACTATGAGGGGCGGTGGGGGCGGGGTTATATGTGTAAGTGGGCGTGGCTTGTGGGCGACGGCCACGGGAACGGCGGGCAGGACTTTTCTTACAAACACTCCACACCGTTTTCTGCTTCGTCAGATCCTTGGGTCACGGCTGCCAATTGCTGCTGTTCTGTAAATAGCAGCCTCCCTTGGTGAAAGCATCATGCCGACCCAGAGAGGTGGGGGCTCGCTGGCTCACCTCGCATGGCCTTCTGGCTGAAGGGCACCGCAGCCTACATTCACCGCGACCATCATGCCCGAGCATGACTGTCTCTGTGGTGTTTACAGGCACTGCTGCGTTCGTCCTCCCTGCACAGTGGCTGTGTGTAGCTCGGGGGGATAGAGATGTGTGTCACATCCAGAAACCACTCTGACCCCAAGCACTCCTCACTTCTGTTAAATGGCTACATCTAAAGCATTCCTGTAGGAGAATCGCATGGGGACCAGTGCTGCACAGATACCTTTGGCAACTCAGTAGGATTATTAGTTTTATCATTCGGTTTTAATTATTAAATAAGTTTAATTCCCAGAATGTCAGCCTTTTCTTTGATATCTGGAAGCTCCTCACTTGTTCTTATCGCTTTCTGATAACGTGACTGTAATCTTTAAATGTTACTTCATCTTTTGTATAAGAAGTAATTGTCTGTTGATTTCAACTCTCTTAGTTACTGATCCTCTCCGGTGCCTAACGTGAAATAAGTATGTGCTCAGTTATGACACTTCAAGGGCCTAAGATGATTAGGAAGACGGTGTTTGCACTATCTGGTATAAGTTCCTTGCCTGTATTCACCGTTGTCTTTGTCTTCCACTCCAGGTAAAAACCTCTACACCAACGAGTACGTGGCTATCAAACTGGTAAGTCCTGACCCCCCGATCATTTCCTTTCCTGTGTGTGCGCCTGCCTGTGCACGGGGCGAGATTGAATTTGACCTTTAAGATGGTTGTTTTGCACGTCAGGTGGGACAAGCTGGAGTGTTTGATCGGGCAAATTCTGCGGCTTGCGCGGTTTCAGTCGCTCTGGCAAAGCGACGCTGAACCAGAGTAACGCCGCGTGTTAAACCATGGGAGTGCCTCGAGCCGCCTGGCAGCCTTTGTGAGGCTCCATGCATCATTAAACCCAGATTATTGGGGCCTTTTGTTATACGCTTTCAGCTTCTCTTTTACAGACTCTCTGGTCCAACGAAAAAGAATAGTAGTATAACGTGCCTGGAATCTTAATCCCTGAATATGAATCCAAAGTCCGGATTTAAAATGTAATTTTATTATTTCATATGGTTGTAACGTACAAGTGAATTTCAAGTGACAGCCTGGTATCACAGATGCTGTGGACTCGAAGCCTTTAATTTCCCTCATGTTAGGGTGGGGGGGGGGGGGGTTGCGCTCAATGCCCCCCCTCTGATCAAAGCGCCCACAGACAGGTGCAGAGATGATTTCCATTCCAGTTGCTCTGCTGGCGTCCTGGGGAGGGGCCGGATACGAGGTGCCAGCCCCGTCCTGGTTTAGTGTCGTGTGTTTACTCTGCTAACGGCCCCAACGCCACACTCTTTGTTTACTTTGGGGGAGGGGGGCACATTGGCAGAGTGGGCATGTGCATTGGCATGTTAGTCCGCGTCTGCCGCTGGGTGTTTAAACCCTTGAGGTGTCTGGATCTGCCAGCCTCTCAGTCACGAATTCAGTCCTTCAGCTGTCGCTCCACGGGAGAAACCAGCTGGGTTGTGGAGATCGGCTGGAGGATGAGTCATGGCTTCTCAGTGGACCTCGGTGCAGCTGTGAAGCACCAAAATGGTGCCATCTGGGTTAGCAAGTGGGATGCAGCTTGAAGCAAAGTAGCACCGCATGGGCAGCAGGATGATTAGGTTAGTAAGAGGCATCGTGAGCCGAAATGGTGCTGCATGGCCAGCTGGTCAGCAAGTAATGCTGCGTTCTATTTGAACTCGTAACTCATACGTTCCGAGTTCCTAGTTGGGAAGTTCAACCGGAAAGCCCCCTGAAGTCGGAATTCCGAGTTGCGAATTCGGAGGAATCGACACAACCCCGAGCTTAGATTTCAAGATGGCTGCACCCTTTATCAACAGAAGTTAAAGCTGTAGTTTTATACTGTTTATTAGCACTTTTTATGTGCATTTTGATGTGCAAAATACAGTGTAATGACTTGATTTCCACTGATATTGCTAACCATGGCTAATAATTAACCAGGCTAGAACTCGGGCGCGTGCATAGCACTGCACAGGCAGTTGGATGATTGGGTGAGCAAGTGGGGTGCAACTTGACCTCAAATGGCACAGCCTGTGCAGCTGGCTGACTAGGTTAGCTAGTGGGACACAACTTGAGCCAAAATGGCGGCACTTGGCAAGTCAGTTTCCTTAGTTAGCATATGGGTAGTTCTTGGACCTAAAATGTGTCATCAGGGAAGCCAGGTGACTCAGTTTACTGCCAGCTCCACTGCTGTCTTCTGTGATCAGCCTCTTCTAGTACTCATTCACTTGCCTAAATCTTGTCTTTATATTAATTTGTATATTAATACATTTTTTTTTGCTCTGCCCCCAACTGGTGTATATTTTTCATTTCATTTTTTTCTCCTGTCACCTAGGAACCAATAAAATCGAGGGCACCACAGCTACATTTGGAGTACCGTTTCTACAAAACGTTGGGAAGTACAGGTAAGAGCTTGCGACCCTATCCCCCAACCCCCTCTTCCATCCACTCACTCAAATAAAAAACTCTTCCCCTCCACAGTCCCTCCCTGGTATAATATTATGATTAAGCATTACTCTCTCTTAAGATTAGCATTAGTACGGTGCTGTTTTACCCTACAAGCAAAGCAACAAGATTAGCCAACGACATAAAAGTAGATGTCCAGGTCACCTCACATTGGGTGCAGGTTTGGTGAATAAGCTGGCCAGACTGCCTCACATTGGGTGCCGGTTTGGTGAATGAGCTGACCAAACTGCATCATGTTGGGGATGGATTTGGTGAATGAGCTAGCCAGACTGCCTCACATTGGGTGCCGGTTTGGTAAATGAGCCAGCCCTCACTGCCTCACGTTGGAGGTGGGTTTGGTGAATGAGCCGGCCAGGCTGTCTCTCGTTGGGTGCCGGTGAATGAGCCGGCCAGGCTGCCTCACATTAGGGGTGGGTTTGGTGAATGAGTTGGCTAGGCTGTCTCTCGTTGGGGGTGGGTTTGGTGAATGAGCCGGCCAGGCTGCCTCTCATTGGGTGCCGGTGAATGAGCCGGCCAGGCTGCCTCACGTTAGGGGTGGGTTTGGTGAATGAGCCGGCCAGGCTGCCTCATGTTGGGGGTGGGTTTGGTGAATGAGCCGGTCAGGCTGCCTCTTGTTCAGCCAACACATGCACGTGAGCTGGCCTGGCTTGGGCCAGACATTCCCAAAGGAATGTCAGGGTAACCATGGAGATGACACGTGAGCCCATCACTTCTGGTTAGGACATGGTTTGCATGCCTCTGAATGCCCTGATTGAGAAATGCAGGAGTTCCATTATGATTAATGTTATTTCTTAAGTATTTACAAGTGTAAAATTATTAACTGGAGTTTTTTTGAGGTTGTTTTAAAATTAAGTCTTGTGTGAAACATTGCTGTTGTGCATAATTCATACATGATTCAAGTAGACATTTATGTGGCTAATTAATAAATATTAATACATTTGTGGAGGGGGTTCATGCCTCGGAGGAAGCTGATTGGCAAAAGGCCATGTGTCTCAGGCTCTTTGGGGAGGTGTGTAAGATCCCCCTTATTGGTGGGGTGATTGGCAGGGACTGGGCTTGTGTGTGAAAGGTCATGGTTTTGTGCCTTGGGGGGGGGGGGTTCCTCATTGGAGAAAGATACTTAACCTCTTTGGTAGATAATCACATTGTGTATTTGCATAACTGCTGTTAACATGTGCCAAGCAACTTGATAAACATGACCTAAATGATCAACTTGTCCTCAACATCTGGCTCGTTCTCATGAATGCCAGGGTTGGGGGTGGGGTTTTCCTGTCCCAGTTTGATACCTGTGTTTGGGGGGTTTGCGGGGGGTGTAAGTCTGCATAAAGGTAACAGAACACGGAAAGGAAAGGGTTTATTTGTAGGTATCTCTTGAGGCTGCCGGCACTGCTGTGTCCCGTAGGGCGAGATCCCACCTGCCCTTTTATCTCGCACTGTCTCGCCAGTGTTACGCTTGTCCTCCATGTCACGGCCGCTTTTCCCGAGTGGAGCATTTCCCATGGCTCCCGATGAAGCTGTAATCCCCTCCCCTGGCTGGCAGCAAGGGCCCCGTTTTGCTGTCACGCACTGCGAACCATCCAGTGAAATGTGTCTGTCAGGGTCATTAACTGAACTGGCACGTTAAAATGGAAGCAGCCTCTTCTGTCATATGTGGGAGTCAATTACAGTTAAGAGGCTGCGGGCTCCATTTCACATCGCTGCCGGGGATTTGATTACACTGTCTGAGTCTCCCGTTGTCTGGGCTTCATGCTTCATGGGTGGAATACACCATAAATGACACGTATGTGTATTTATAAATAAAAACATGATGTTTTTGCAGTGGACCCTTGCCAGCGACGCTCCTAGCCGCAATAGCTATTCGCACCACGGGGTAAATTCACAGCAGTCTATTTCCTTTTTGTCTTTGAAGTGTGTGATTTTGTGAGACTACAGGATGAGAGGCCGTGAGTGAATGCATGGTGGAGGTAGGGAGGGGGGGGGGATCTGCCCCCTGGTGGAATTCTCCAGACCTCGCTCTGGTGCCGCCAATTCTCAGTGCCCACGGGTCTCTCTCCCAGCCTGGTCGCTCCTGACTCACTGCGGCCTACTGACCCAAAGTTCATTTCTCGCAAACCTCAAAGCTTTTAGCTACTGATCCTTTTACAGCCAGCGATCTTTTGTTCTGTGCTGAATGTTCCCCATCTTCTTTTTGTTAATATGATTATATCTATTTTGACCAGCTTGTTAAAATGCTCAAGATACATAGACTAAGTCTTATTTAAAAATAGTTTCTTTATATGTAAATCCTACTACATTTTATTTAGTAGGATTTCTCAGGAGCAAATTTTCCGATATGTGCAATCAAAAACATGATTGCGCCTGATTCTTCTTTTTCCTCTTAGAAGACCTGAGTCTCATTTTCCATGGATACCTTGCCTGAAATCTCGAGTTCCTGCTAGTGGATGCTGTGTTCGAAGAATTAAGTTGAAGTGTCGTCTGGCCCTGTGTTTAAATAAGATGATCTTTAAAGATTACAATGTACATCACAATCAAAAAATGTGCAGCACGGAATGTCATTCATTTTACAGTAGTGGTAAAATAGGGATGTCGGTGATGCATTTTGTTGGCTAACAGCTGATGCTCGATGCTGTCAGTTACGGAGAGAGATGTCCCTACTGCTTCATTAACGCTAATTGGTAAATTAGGCTGACAGGCTGATGGTTGAGACGTGCTGTCTTGCCATTTAATAAAACTTGTCAGTTTTATAATGTAAAATTTATATATGATAAATTTATGTAGGGCTTCAGCCTGCCATTTTCTTTGCAGTGAGAGAAGGTACAGTCGGATTGCTGCAAATTGTCATCGTGGACTGGAATTTTCTGGAGCTGAATATTTATAAGCCTTTGGAATGAAATGCACCTCCCAGTACAGAAACATTCCTCCATTTCTTTTATCTGTCTGTGTTGGCATGACGGCACAGGTCTGAAGCTGCAGCTGAGCTCCATATTAGCTCATTTCGCCGAGTTAGATTGTCTCTGTGAGCAGTGCTCTTCACAGAGCCATGTGTTGTAAAGGACTCGGCACATAAGGCGTAGTGTAAATCAGCCCCCTCCCCCCGGCCCATCTCTGTGATAAGTGATAATTGCTTGATTATCTTACTAGGTTCTGTAAATCCCAGATTCACATCCTCTCTTGGGTCTAGAAAACTGGTTCCCACCCGGGGGGGGGAGGCATGTCGAAGGTCAGCCGCAAGCCTCCGTGTTGGCGTTGAGTTTATTGGCTCATTGAAATTCTACACGTTGCCCCTCATTTTATGTATTTCTGGACCTTATGGATTTCTGCTACTCAAGGGATTTGGTGAGCTGCTCATATGGAGTGATGGTGCAGGGGGGTGCTCTGTTCAACGTTGGCCTCCTTTGGTTCACCGGAGCTGCGTTTTCAGACGTTGGGTCTGATAGGCTCTGCCGATTTCCTGCTGCCGCAACGTACGCTACGTTACCTGCCCACCCACTGCCAGTACATGTCTAGCCTGTCAACTTCGGAAATCGACCCAAGGCATCTGTGAACAAAATCTGGGATCGATAGATGCGGAAGGTGCTCTTGGACTCCTGCGGTCAGAGAAGACAACACCCTAAAACAACGCTAAAATGCAGCGGGGGTACCAGCCAATACATGCGACAGGGCATGCATGTGACTGGCGGCTGACTTGGTAGCTTGGGTCCAGATACACAGCCCAACTATTACTAGATAACTAACTATTACATTACTTAATTACTCAGTAGATGCCCCGTTTAGTGTGACCTTCTAGTGTGGTATGATTTCTGTGTTTACAGATTTGCAGAAGGTTAAAGTATTGACAGCTGAGCCTCCGGAATAAAATTCCCATAAACGTGATTCCCGTTACGTTTAGCCCACGTTACTTTTCAGGCTGCTTCTAGCTCTGACATGCCTTCTAAAGTCTGCTTTGTGTGGTTCTTTAACTGCGTTGGCTTTTTTATGTGTTTGTCTTTGACATGAAAGGGCAGCATTAACCAGTCTCAAGGTACGGCTCTTCATTTGCCTGCACGCATACGTCTCCATGCTTGAAGGAGCTGCTGCAGTGTGTACAGAGAGTTGTTGAATTTATGGGGTGTTCCATGCACTGTGTTAGGTAGGGGTGATGAGGAAGAATGCAAATATTGCAGAAAGACCTTCAGTAAGAACATCCCCCCCACACACACACACACACACACCTCACTGCAAACTTGGAGCTGTGGATTTGTGGGTGTTAGACTGCACTTTGGCAAGCACCGCCTCTGAAACGAGCTTCCAGGTAACGCTGCAAGAGATATTGACTTACTGTTGTCTGACTTCAATTTTGGAGGCACTGAGAACGATTTGCAGCATCGAATGAGGTAAACTGGAACAGAAGATAGGATGTTGATGCTTACAGTGAGATTTGTTGCGTTAGCCCTGAGACGGGGCTTTAAACAAGAGCCATTAAAAATCCAATTTGTGCAAGTCAGAGGCAAGAACATCTAATCCAGGAAGCCTAGGTTAAGCCTGAGGTGTTGCTTTGGATGAGAGCGTTGGTCGTGGTCATTGGCCTTGATTGGCAGTCATCTCAGATCCCTGCTTATCATGGTGCGCTTTGAGTGTTTCTGGTTGGCTAAGCCCATCCAGTTGTCTTTGGGGGTGTGTCCAGCTATGCACATGGGCCCACGCCACGGCTGAGATGCAGCAGAATCACTGCTTGGAGACATGGCTTGTTGGCATGTTGAGTGGTAAATGCCCAAAGCACGCACAGCACAGCTTCTGTGACTCGGTCAGAGTTTCTTTGAACTGGCGTCTATTACAGTTTAACAAACCTTCTGGCAGATTCAGCTAAATCATCTTATTGTCACAGTTTGACCTTCGGTCATGGTTGGTACCTCATGATCCAGTTACTGAACCGCTAAACCGGGACCCAGCCACCCCAGGA